CCAAAAAAAAGGGGAAAATTATTAAATTTGCCCCGAGATTGCACCCCTTTATTTTTTTAAAAATTGTTTAAATATGGGCGAGGGAAAAGGTGGTGGTTTTCCTTTGGAATTGTGGGGACAAAAAACCCTTTTTCCCTTTGGGGGCAAAAGGGGAAAGTATGAGAAAATTTGTTTTTCCAACGCTCTTATATGGGGTGTGAAGCATTGGGGGATGATGTTTTCAGCGGGGGAGGGAAAGGTTTGGGGGCCGTGGAAAAATGTCATGTTGAGGGCAAAGTGTGGTTTTGAATAAAATGCCCGGGGGAATTCGTTTTTGTTTGGAAGTTAGGAGGAGGTGCGGGGAAATTTCCAAAAAAAGTTTGGGCCAGAGGGCGGGAAGGGTTTTTGAGGTGGTTCGGCCCGTTAGAGAATGGAGCGAAAAGAATGACTTCAAGGTGTATCAGTTGTAGTGGAAGGAAGGGGGGTTAGGGGTCGCCTTGGAAAAGGTTTTGGGGAGAGGGGGGGTTAAAAGGGGTTTTTTTGGGGCGAGGGGTTGGACTTCCAGCAGGTATGCATGAGCGGTTTGGGTAGGAGGTGGAAAGGAGACAAAAAGGGTTTTTTTTTTTACTTTACGTGTGTTGGGAAATGTAAAACAAAGTAACATTTATGAAAGGGGGTTTTCCCCCCCCGGGAAAACCGGGGAGGCCCGGGCTTTAGTCCTGGAGATGGGAAGTGCAGTTTCCTGCAATTTTTAAGGAAGGGGGGTTTATGTTGCAGTTTTTAAAAAAAGTAGTTTTAAAAACCCCTTTTGGCAAGACCCGTGATGGAGTGAATGATGGGTGGGGAAAATTTTTTTTTTTCGGGCCACCCTTTCCTTTGGGGGGGAACGGCCAGGTGTTAAAAAAAATAATAAAAAGAAACTAAGGTGTTATATAAAACTAAAAAAAAGGAAAAAAAAAAATATAAGGGGGCTAAAATTAAAATAATGGTAAAAAAGGTTAAAATTGGGAAAAGGGTAGTCACTTTGAAAAAATATTGGTTTTAGGAAAATAAGATCTATTTTTAATATTAAATAAATTGAGCGTTTATTGCACAATAAAAAATAAAAAAAAAATTTAAAGGTTAAATTGGTACTAGTTGCAAGCAAAAAAATAGTCTTGGTATTGCCAAAAAAAAATTGGAATTAACTAATTGCACACACAATAAAAAGTGACTTAAAAAAAAAAAGTAGTGGTAAAAAATTAAAAAGGGAAAAGGTAAGAACCCAAGTTAAAAAATTATTTGGGAGGGAAGATTTGACTTGGGAACATAAAAATTTTGGGGCCCAAATTAAAAAGCGTAAGGAAGAAGTAAAAAAATATTGGGGGGGTTTTGTTAGCATTAGGGGGGTGATGAAAAAATAAAAAAAATAAAAAACGACAATATAAATTTGTAAGGTACACTATTGCCACAATTTTATATGGATTTTAAAGGGGACTTTCCCAATCTGTTTCAGAAAAAAGACGCTTTTCTAAGGAAGGTTGAGAAATCGGTTCGTTTGAGATAGTATTAAATTTTTGTTGTTTAAAGTTTTCCTTTTTAGTATTTTCCCATCTCGCGTGAAAAATGATGTAAATTTTTTTTTTCCTGTTTTTAAATTTTTTTAAGGCCCGAACGAAGGTTTTGATGTTTTTTGTTAGAAAAATCATTTTTGTACACTCTTTTTTTATTGTAATTGCTGTTTAAATTTGGTTTCCCTTTTTTTTATCGTTTGAATAAGTCTGATCATTTATACGGGGTTTTTCTTTCCCGGTTTTTCCCAACAAAAATTTTTTTCTTTGATTTCATTGTTTTGCACGATGATTGTACGTTGTCCTTTTTTTTTCCCCGGCAGCAGTTTCTTTGCATGAGCTTGTGTTTTGTCACTTGGGAAAGTGTGGAATGTTTAAATTTTAATGCATCAGACAATTATTTTCAGTTTTGTCGTCTTGGAAATAAAAGGGATTCATTTAGTCGGAGTGTTTAAGTTTGATTCCAGCCCTTTATTGTTCTTAAACCCTTTTAAATTTTTTGTAGTTATTTGTTCGGGTGTGGGTTTTGGTCTATGCTGGGTTTTAGAATTTTTTTTGTTTTTCAACACTTCCCCATGTAAACTTTCTTAAAGGGTTTTGGATCTTGTTCTCGAGGTGGTTTTTCTTGGAATTTTCGTGCTCGAGTGTTTTCTTTGATATCTTTGATTTCGTTTTTTTGAGCAAAGATGTGTCCTTGAAATTGTCAGGGAAAAATCATACCCGAGTAATCATGGGGGGAATTTTGAAGGGGAGTGGGGTTGGAGGGGGAAATCGCCCTGTTTTTTTTTTGTTTTTGTTCCCTGGGTGGCGGCGGTGAGGGGGGTTGATTTATAACCGGCGTTCCCGCTGGGTAGACAAGGGTTTAGTTCTAGGGTCCCTTTCTGTTATTCTTTTTTTTATGAAGTTGTTTCCTTTTTGCGAATCCTTTCATAGTTACTGAAGTAGATACTGTGTGCAATGGAGAAGGCTTGTTTTTTCGGAGCTTGGGTTTTTGTGGTTGTCTGGCAGCGAGGGAGTGTTTGGGGTTTTTGCAGGGGTGTCTTCCTTGATCTTCTACTTTTTTTAAGATTTGGGTTTCATTCTTAGTATTTTGGGTTTTTGTTGTGGTCTACGTGGGTTTTATGTAGGGTTTAACTTTTTACTTTGGGGAAACACAAGTTTTGATTTCGATGTTTTTTGAGGGGAAAAAGAGTGGGGGGTTTTCGCTGCTTTCCGTTGCCCTGCCGCTTTTTCTTTAATGTCTTTAAAGGGATAATCCCCAAAACATTTTTTCCCCCTCACCCTTTTCTAAACATTTTCATAAATTTCTTGGGTTTAATGCTCAAATCCCCACCCCTTTTAAACCCCTTTTTAGGTCAAGAAGGGGCCCCCTTTCCCAAACTTTGTTCTCGAGTCGAAAAATTTTTTGAAAAAAAAAAAAAAAAAAAAAAAAACTAATGAAATGATAGAGAATCTTTTCTCAATCATAATGACACCAAAAGTATGAAATTTGGTGGAAAACTTATAGAATTATGCTCTCCCAAAGTTAGCAGTCTCGACGATGTTTACACATCGGCAATTTCACCCACTTTGAGCCCTATTTTCGGCCAATTCCAATGTACCAGTCGACAAAAATCATAACTATTTTGCTAGAACTCGACTTTTTCTATCGAATGAGTACAAGAAACCACCCATTTACCAATTTCAACTATCCAATAGCATGGTCAGAAATTAGCAATTTTGCCAATTTCACACATATTTCAAAAGATGCCAATTTCCAAATAGGGTCCAGAATAAACAAGACAGACATTCCTGGCACTAAAATAACATTTTCTCTGTTCATTAGTCACGTCTCCAGGCCCCTCTTACATTTCTTTTGCTTTCCACTTTGAATTTTTATTCTCACAAAAAAAGAGAAGATTTACTGTTATGCAGACTACTGCATTAGTGTAGAAATGGTATAAATAATATCAGCGCACTTGTGAAAGAATATTAGACTCACCAGTTGACATGTATTGGATGCATGGCATGATTTGTTTACTTTTGAACTTTAGCAAAAATTGAACATTTCTGCTGAAACCAATCAAAATCATCTCAGTTTCTTTAATGTGTCTTCCATTCAATAAAATGAGACCAGGAAAACTAAAATACAACTAAAATACCATACGAAAATACACTGCAAAATCGCTGTTTTAAACCAAAAACACGGTTGGAGTTTTCTTTTTTCTCCTTATGCACTGTGTGCTGCAGGATTTTTTTTATACTGTGCACACTGACCACATTGACCCATTCTTTCATATGTAGGCCTACCAGCTTTCTCTTGCTAGATTTGAAGGCGCTAGAATTTACGCATACTAATACAGCACCAACCCTGGCGTGCAAGCCGTACTAGTATGGCACCCACCCTGAAAGGGTTATAGCTTTCAACCTAAAAAGGGTTGAAGGGAAGGGATTTTATACACTCTATAGATCATCCTATTTCTACTCCATCATCTGTAAATGTCCAAAGCATCTCAAAAAGCCCTCATTTGCCCTCTGAATATTATCTTTCATAACCCTATGCTATCTTGTAAATTCTATCAGTGTTGGTACCATTATTCTCTAGTACGTTGTCTTTATTTGCTTCAGAAATGAATACCTCAACCCTCTGTCTACTTATTTTCTTCCTCCTTTCTATGGCTCACTTCATTTTTCAAAGAGCCATCTGCTGTTATGTCCATTCTCAAATATCTTTATGTATCCTCCCAAACTCATCCACCAACCTTTGCAGCTTTTTTAGAATCTTCAGAAATTTGGCAACTCC